AGAATAAAGAAACCAAACCACTTGTGAAAATGATGAATGAACTTTCTACTTACCACTTGACGCAATTAAATATTAATAAATGGAATTATTCTTTAAAGAGTCCTTTTTTTGGCATTTTCGCTAGTGTTGAGGTGAAAAGATTGAACTGTTTTAATAACATGTTAATAAGAATTGACAGCGTTTTGTTCGAAGACCATTTACAAACTGCAGGAGAGAAAAAGAAAAAGCCATCCACAAAGAAGGTTTTGACATAAGCGATTTGAATATTAAGTAAGCTATAAATACAGTAGCCGTTACGCGCAAAGATCATGTTAACAATTACAAATGAGACAAGTGACTCTCTCACTCATCAAAATAAATTGTCTCTACATAAATATGGGATTTTTTTGTTCGTTCCTTTGAAACTCTCTCTCTCTCTCTCTCTCTCTCTCTCTCTCTCGGGCGACTATTGTCAACGAAAAGCGGACACATCAAAAAGTCAAAGCAAAACAATGTCACTTTAAAAAAAAATCCGATTTTTTTTTCTAGTAATATGACAATGGATTTCACTTCATTTTCAGACAACATTTTGACATATGCCGAAAAGAAAAACATAAGAGAATCGAATGCTATTTGTTACATGTGAGAATAAGTGCTACCGAGACAATTAGTCATATTTCAATTTTGGTAATTGTTTGTTGTATTCATAAGAATAATAAGAAAAAAAAAACAAAATAATATGTATCCAAATAAAGCTGACGACATTAAAGGAGTTTAATGGGCATCTCGTCGCGACGCGATATTCAGCCAACGGTGATGGTGGTCGCATTGTAGTTTTATAAAAAGGAATTTCGTTGCAGACGAAAAATTCAAAAGAAAAATTTCAATGTCACCTGAAGCATTCATCATACTTTCAGTATGTTGAATGATGCATTCGTTGAACAATACAAATTCAATTTTTTTAATTTTTTTTAATACGATGACAATTTTTATGTTTCTATATTGATGTAGCGCGCTTCTCCGCCATCCAGACTTTGATGCCAGTGATATAAAGAACGAATTACATCCAAAAGCCCTAAGCCAAATTTCTTGGTTTTATACAAATAATTCATTGGATTATTCTTGTCTCTTAAAATAAGAAATTGCATTTTTGGTGAATAAGAAGAAAAATAATCAAGTCCAATGCGCGGAAATTGGTAATTATTTCTTTGTATTGAAATTGAAGAAAAGTTTACCTCTTACTTAAGTAAACGAACATAAAAAAATACGAAAAGCAAAAGGCATATGTGTTCGAAACAATCGTATTAACAAAAACTCATACAAATCAATCGAAATGCTACGTCGAAAGATTTCATTGATAGCAAAAGTAGAAATTTGCGTGCACAGAATGCAAAAAAAAAAAACTTGCATACACACATATGAAGGGAAAAGCACAAAACTGATTTTCACGGAGATTAACTGTTTGCATTTGTTGAATGAAGAATAAAAAAAAAAGCATACCAAGTAATCGTTGGGGCTCATTTGGCGCGTATAGTTTACTGTCTGGCTGCAGTTGTGTGACAATCGGTAGACGAAAGCTAAACAGTTAAAGAAAAACATACACACACACGAGATATATGCACGAATTTAACGATAAAACTGAGAAAATGCAGATTGATTGATGTGTCCTGTAAAAGGTCGGAAATTAGTTAATTTTTTAAAAGATCTCAGAGACAACTTCTTCTTTTCCCTTTCTTTTTCTCAGTTGTCGTCATCGTCGTTGTGGTTTTGTTTGCATTTATGTATTTTTATTTTAGTTGAGCGACTTTTATCGGTTCGTATATGTCGTTTAAATGCCGATTGCTTGCATTTCTTTGACTTTTGAGGATCATAATCACAAGCCATTTCGTTTGGCCGTCTTTCAATCTATCTCTTTCTATCTCGGTGTGGCTCTTTTATTTTATTTTATTTGCCTTTGTTTATTTTGTAATACACGATGGATTATTCAGATCGCATTTAACAATTTATTTAATTGTCTTGCATTGAAAATGAACCGTTTTTTGCTCAGTCAATCGGTGATTTCTAAGTCAAAAGAGCATCAATTCGGGACCATTAGTTGTGATTGTCGTCGTGGTTGGTTTCGCTTGCTTTTTCTTTATTATGCGTGTGTGTGTTGGTGTATCGGCGTTTTATTTCGCGTATTGATCGATACATTTAAACTAGAATTCTCCGCTTCATTCTTGATCGGAAGTTCACCGCTTCAGAATACTGAATCCATTGAATTTTAATTCAATTGTCACACATTTTGAATGCATTGTTATTCATTACGTGCAGAGAGAGAGAGGAAGAGAGAAAGAAAGAAAGAGAGAAAGAGAGAGTGAGAGATAGAGACAAAAGTGAGGAAAAACCCATACGGTGTATTCGGTTTGCCGAAATGAATTCAGTGCAAACATTCAAATGATGTAAAAAAAGAACATTTTCGTCTCTCAAATAAAAAGAAAATGTGTTCAGTCATGTTTTTTATGAGATTTTTTCACACCAAATTCGTATCCGCATCAAGAATTGTGTATTGTTCACTTCGTTATTTGTACTTGCATGGTGATAATCTTAAATCCGAGACTAAACCAAACCAGTTGCAATGATTGAATTTTTGTTATTGTCTTCGCAAGATACACAAAATGTTACACCCTGTTGTTATCAATCTAATTTATTCCATTGTTCTCTCATGCACTACATCGATCGAATGACCGAACACGTTGCGTGTGTGTATGTATGTGTTTGAGCCATCTGAGTATGTGCACCATGTACTACTGTATATTCAAGACTCATAAAACTGGTAAATTTAATTATGCTTGACCGCGCATGGCAAAACAATTACACAAACCTCATTGTTATACGCTAACGTTTACGATCTAGAGAGAACAGATATTCTAGGGCATTGTAAATGTGGAATGGAAATCTAAAGTATTTCAAGCCGGCAGCATTCGAGCACACCACTAAGCCACCCATCATCATCGATATATTGTCAAAACACGGAAAAAAGCACAAAACACAGTCAGATGTGCACGAAGAAAATAAAAATCAATTCAAAAAAGCAGCCAATATTCATGCTGTGAAAATTAAAGTATTTGCTCTTCATCGAATCGTTCGATTTACGAATTTCTTTCGATACAGTCACACAGAATGATTTTCAATATCCCCCCTTCACTCACAGAAAACAAAATTCCTCAGCATATATAACTATTTGATATTGAATAGAACATTGTGGTTAGAAAAGACGCTGAATTGGCCGCTGAAAACGGGCAATGCACAGCGGTAGCTCGTGTATGCCCAGTGAATTCAAAATAAACAAAATAGCGACCAGCTGAGCAAACTTTGTCAGAAAAATCACTCAAAAATCATTGCATCGGTTGTCCTTAACGCACATTAGACATTCAATTTAACCATGAGCTCCGATCATTAATATCGGTTCAATTAGAAACACGCTGACCATACACCGTCTTGAACGTGTGCAGATCAAGCGATCATCGTGATGAATCTTCACTGATGACTGAAGAAGAGAACCGTTGATATTGATTCGATTTTGTTGCTGCTTAAGGCATCTATCAAATAAACAATTAGCATATGACTATTGAAAAATTTCGATTGCGCGTTTCTAATCGAATTGATTTGATGCTGACTACGTACTGAGTTTCGTTGAACGTGCGCGCGTTTTTCAATTGTGTTATGGATATACAATTTTTCTTTTTTGCTTTTTGAACGAAATTTATTTGAAAATTGAAACCAATTTTGCCTCATAAATCCAATCAGAAAAACCATCGACCAAAAAAAGTATCAAATGGATGAAGAAAATCGATTGAAAAATCAAAGAATAAAACACACACCAAAATAATAATAATAAAAACGACAAGCAATTTAAACGTAACAAGAAATGTGTGAATGATTTAATTGATTTAAATTGAAATGAGATCACGAAACTCAAACACAGATCATCTTCTTTGCATACAGAGAAAAAGAGAGCGAGAGAGAGTGCGAGAATCAACAAGAAAATTAATGATATGGTAAAAAAACATAGCTCAGCATGGATCGAACCGTATTACAACAAGAATATCGTGTAATTTTAGTGAAATGAGTTTTTTGGTTCGAACTCACATCGACACAGATAGAGAAAAAAAAACATTTTCATCATTCAACAAAATTCAATTTGACTATCAATATTCTTGTTATTCGATTATTAATTTTTTTCTTTCTGTTCTCATTTCTTGACATTTTGACAATTGTACAATTGTTTGGTGCGGATCATAACATCATAAATGCTATTGATCAGCCAATGGATGCGCGACAGCTGTTTATTTATATGAAAGAGTCTCATCAAACCAAATAAAAAACCTCTGTCATGGTCATACAATATTGCTAGCTAGCTATCTGTATCAGCTATTGCTATGAATAGCTGTTATTACACTCGAACATAAAAATGGTGTCATTGTTTTGGAATGATTTAAAATGTTTGTTGTGCCCAGCATACACAGCATCCGAGCGAAGAGATGCGTTAAATAGCACCTATTTATATATCCCTATAGCAATAGCTGATATAGATAGCTAGCTAGCAACAATGTATGGCTCATGGTGAAGAACTAGTGGCGAAAATAATTAGTAGATCATTTTTCCATGTGTTTTAATAGTTTCAAGGTGTGAAATAAATGCAATTGATTCTTTTAAAATGTGTGAACAAAATTACAATACACCATTTGGATACCATAATTTTCTACATAAATATTTTTTTTTTATATGTTTAAACAGCGCTTTCCATATATGGACTCTATACAGACTTTCCACTCAGAATTTCTTATTGTACAATATCAATGGAAATGGAACGAAAATTGCAACCAATTAAAACGGATTGCCCCTTTAATTCAGAGAAGAACAAAATTGTGTGTGTTTTCTTAGTATCTAATGATTCAGTTGATTTCAGTTATTCTCCGCGTACACCCGCTTTTAACAAACAAACATTGTCATGATTTCTTTTTCAAATAAAAACCAAAAAACTTCATGGGAATATAAAACACCTCTAGAAAGATGGTATATCCTTTTCAATTTCTTCAAGAAGATAGGAGATTTTTGTCAAATCCGTATGCTTAGCGATCAAACAATCGGATTTGTTGGATATATACCGGCCATAAGTGGAATCGTGCACTACAATTTGCTGATTTATACTATGTATTATTACACAATTCGTGGTCGTTTTTTGGAGTGTCTGCCAAGTTTTTGTATTTTTGGAATTATGAATGCAGTAATGTGATTCAATATTATTTTAAAAACGAAATGTCCAAAAGTCAAATTAAGTGATTTTTTTCTTCTTATTTTAAGACATATGCATATTACTTGTCCATTCTCGGGGATAAAATGAAAGAATGGTTCAGATTGATTATTATTCCCGGAAAACACATTTACCGTGACAATCGGCAGCTAACAAACTACAATCGAATTTGTGAAGAAAGCCTTAGCTTTTCGATTAAAGCGTACATCATAAAGATGATGGTGATAATTATTTCATTTGTTGGAGCAACTATTGGACCATTCTATCGATATCTGAACGATGGAACATTGGTTACGTTTTACGCTTTGAAATTGCCATACTATCACGATGATTTAAACAAGGAATTTATGATAAATGCAATATGGCAATTTGGGATCACCATATTTGGCGGTGTTGCACTCTTTTTCATGGAAGGTATACTTACTTTGATCGATGACACTGTTACCGTTTCATCGAAATTGTCTCAATTGGAATTCGAAGAACTATCAGATTTTCTCGAAAATGAATCGAAAACCATTCAAAAATCACGTAAAAAACTAACGGATATCTTCATGAAAATTGCATACTTTGATGAGTAAGATCATCTCACTTTTATTCTCAGCAAATCGTATGGAATGTTTTCAAACGATTATTATTATTTTTTAAACACCTTCTATTCAAAATTAGGATTATTCAATTTTTGGGAGATATTTTGTATTTGAGAAACTTTTTAGCTCCGCCGACGTTTTCTATTTCAATAGCAATATCGGTTTATAGTCAAAAAGTGGTACGTGAAATGTTAATTTTGATAGAACTTTTTCTGCATAAAATATATGTTGATTGTTTCATATTTCATTAGATGGACTATCCGGCTGGATATGGATTGGCGGTCGTTTCTTACATTCAAATGGCTGTCATGTGTGTTTTGGGACAGCATATTTCGGATCGAGTATGTGACAAACGAATGCATTGTTGATGGACACAATAATTTTATCAAAATATATAATTTTATTCTGCTTTTTAAATGGCATAGAATGATCGTTTAGTCACAGCAATTTACGACTTTAAATGGTATCTTTTACCAAAAGACGATCAAAAGGATGTACTACATATGCTTCTCCGACTTCAGAATGAGGTCTCTTTCACAATCGGACCATTTGAGGAATTAAATTTTGAAACTTTAAAGAATGTAAGATTTTCATTCCAGTTCTGTATCAATTTTCATTTTTTATTTGAATTTTCAGCTTTGCCAAAAGGTCTACTCATTTTTGATGTTTTTAAGCAGATTTACCGAATAGAGAAACCACTTTTGTTGAAAAATATTGGTCACAGAGTTGATTTTTAAATTATTATTGCAACTATTTAATTTTTAACAGTTCTATAATGCACACATCCAATTACCTTATCAAAATAGATGGAAATTGTATTAAATCAGAGGATTTATTTGAATAAAGTGCCATTATTATAAAATAAGTTTATGATTTAGGAATCGAGATCAGAATTGAACCTTTTTTGCAAAACTTTGTCAGATCAAAAAATAATGTACAATAAAGTTGAACTGATTGAATATTCGGTTTCCGGGTCAAAAGTTACCTTTTTTTATCTATGACTCATCATATGAATTTTTCATTTTTCGACCCGAACTGAAGGTTGATACACAAAATTGTTGGAAATTCATTGGGAGTATTTTGTCTATATAGGCTTTTGAGGTGTAATTCGATACCAAAGGTGTCTGGCATATTTTTTTAACTCTTTTGTTACTACAATCATTGTGCTGACGACACCAAATTTGCTGCCATTATAGATCCACATCTACCCAAACTAGCAGTCAATGATACGTCGAAGGTGACATCACTCATTTTTCACAACTCGACAGAAGTATTTTATTTGATTAAAAAAACCGATTATCACCATATCTATTTCAGAGATTATTGCAATTGAAAGAAGAACAACAGTAATTGGAATGAATAAAACTCTATCAATAAGACTATATGCATATATAACCTCACGCTTCTGATTATTATATTGATTTCTATATACATTTCTAATGCATTATGTAATCGATTGAGAGAAAAAAGATGAAGAAGAAGAAAAAAAAGTTTTTCAATCAAGCTGTCGGTGCCAACAAACGAGGCAGTTAAAAATGATCGGCTGGTGCTTATGGACTTTTTGTGTACGATGACATCGACCGAAAGAGTCGACAAACGACTTTAAAAACAAACTGTATGCCATACAACGAATTAGAGATCATAAGAGAATGAAAGCCAACCAATAAATTACAGATAATTTGCACCTGACAAAAAAAAATCTTCCGCTCCAAACCAAATCCAATGAATTCCAAATGTGTTATTACGAGATATTCACCGATTTTTATGGGTTTTATTTCTTCCTCACCAGAGAGAGAAAGAGATGAAAAAAAAAAACCAAACGCAACGGTCATCCATAAAAAGAGAATCGGATAAAAATAAATGCCCGAATATATTTCAAGTAATAATATGGATATACCGAATGCAGCGAACGAAATAGAAGGCGCTGTGTAGTCGGTGATTGTGACTAGGAATTTGATTATTTATCAAATAATGAATCAAATAAAACGACCAGAAGGTAAGATGTAAGCAATCAATACTACCAATTTTCTTTTTCATTGACCTTTGGTTCCATTGACATTTCGACTATGTCACTATTTTATAATAATAGTATATTTTCGAAACAAAAACAAACACAAGCATCTGTCATACATTTTTTGTGCTAATTAAATTACATTAAATTCTGACAAATTTTTTTTTTGTGTCATCTCAACAACAACAACAACAAAACTCCCGAATTAATTTCCGAAAATGATTCTTTTTGGTATTTTAATTAGAGATTCACAACATCATTTATTTGCGAAGCGTGAAATGATTACACAACGAAAAAGGACAACGAGATGACAACAACGACGATGATGAAGAAGGAGGAAAAATGTTGAAAAATTAATTCGACGCAAAATTGAGCAGAATATGCAGGCGTGCGAATTGAATATTTATTGTAATTTATTTTCATTTTTTTGTTGTTGTGTTCTTTCCGCTTGTGTCGTCGCACTTCACACGGCACCACAACGTCGTTTTTTTTTGTTTATCGGATAGATTTTGAGCGTCAATTTAGCACATTTACCAGCATTTAGAATGAGATATGGGAGCTCGGTGCACAATTTACTGAATATAATTTAAAGGTAAAATGTTGGATGAGATTGAGCCATCGCAAAACGATTCTGTTTCGGTTTAGTCAATTTGAGAAATGCTGGTGCTGGCTTGATGTGTCTAAAAGGCCAGACGAACGCGCACATACTCAACTGTTCGCGCATCAAACCAACAGATAACACATTCATAGCATTCTGGTTGATCTTCATCCGTTTTTTTTTTATTTTTGCCTCCTCATCATCCACCTCCTCTGTTTCCGTCTTCTTCTTCTCTTGTTAAATTTAAATCTTGTTCGTATTTGTTGTTGTTGTTCGTTCCTTATTACATTCTGCATCAGACAATTCGTTGTACTTGTGCTTTCGGTCCATTCATTTCACCTCTGTGCCATTCATGGCTCTTAATTCAGGTCTCGCACCAATCGATTGACATAAATCACTGGATAAAAAAGACATCTTAATTGAAAACGAACTTCAGCGCCTTCGGAATCGGTTGTTCAACACACACACACACATGACCAGATCGATTCGAAAAGAAGGTACAGAAAAATACACTTAATACAAATAAATTGTTGCGCTTTGACTAATTCATTTTCGTGTGCGTTGTTGTTATTTCTGTTATTAGTCGCTTGATGATGATATTCGGTCTCTCTAAAGATATTTGGTGTGCGAGTTTTGCCTGCTTTTCAAAGGCACTCATTTCGCTGTGCATTGTTTTTTTTTCGACCACTAGGCAATGCGTTAATGGCATCTATCTTTTTTTATTATATTGATTTGTTTTATTTATACGTTGTTGTTGTGTTTTTTTTTTTCGTTGTTTCGTCTTCCTATTTTACGGTGATAAAGAATGTATATACGTTAAGAAAGAAAGCCCATCTTTACACGTTCATCGACTGCTCTTTAACTTCATTTAGTATATATGTTTTGCGTTTGATTGCCGATGATTTACCCGGTTTGTTTTCTTTCTCTTTCTCATTCATTCGAATCGAATCTCTAGTGCCCGGTTGATCACACTTGTCGTGTTCTTTTCGTTTGAATTTAGTTAAGCAGCCGCCGTGTCAAATGTTCGGCATAAACGTGTACATTTATATTTGAGACATAAAAATGGACTTTAATTTACTTAAATTCGTTGTTTCGGACCGCGACCATGTTGAAGAAAAAAAAACAATGTTAATTCAATAAATGAGAGTCGGTTGCAGCAATTTAAGTGTGCTTTCGATTCGATCTCCATTCGTGCCGAATTAAGAAATCATATGCATGTATATGTATACATATTGTAATGAAACATTTGGCCGAAACTCAATTGAGTGATTTTCAAAAGCAGCAAAATTAATTTTATGAGCAAACAATTTGATTTTATTCCATTTCACATTCCAAAAATGAAACGGAAACGAATGCAGGCTCGGTTTCGATTAGCATTGCTGATTGTTCATTCGTTGACCACTTTGCTTAAGTTTTTCGACTTTTATTGTCCTTTATCGCGACGCTTTACTAGAAATTGCAACCAAAGCACATTTCGAAATGCAAAAAAAGGAAAAAAAGAAACGAAAAATAATAATAAAGAATGAAGTGATACACAAATATATAAATGAAAATCGAATAACATGAGTGCGTTGTTTATTTTATTGGTGCGCATTACTTTTATGTGATGTGTCAATTGTTTCCTTCACACGCGTGTTCAAACAACACTGTAGTAAATAGCCGCGCGACCCATCAGATTATCGGCCGATGTGCTTTCGCTCTCCTTTTCTCTCTCTCTCTCTCTCTCTCACTCTCTATCTCTATCTTAACGTTGCTAGGCCATAGCCATATATGTTTATATATTACTACCAATCTTTCTTTCTCTCTGGTTCGCGTATTGCTTCAAAATCCATTGATTTAGCTAGTTCGCATATCATTGTGTCTTGTCGCCTGCTTTTCGCTCTCTTTGCTTGTGTTATTTGTCGTTCGAAGCTGTTGTTGTTGTTGCTATATAGGTGCGTGTTTAAGTTCAGTGGGATCACCATTTCTGTTCTTGTTTTTACGTTCATATGGTGCAAATGGTAATAAGATAAATTTGTTGTATTTGACTTGAAAACACTATAACTCTGTTCCGCAGGACTTTTTCTAGATGATCTTTCAATAACAACACACGAACGACTCCAGTGGACAAAGACAAAAAAAACGACGACAACGACGACGACCGGCACGATATAGCACGATAAATGCTTCGAGTATTGCATTTGTGAATGCTGTTATCGCATCATTCAATTCTCTCTCGCTCGCTCTCTCTTCTTCACAGTCACTCACTTGCTCTGTCTCGTTTTGTTCTCTTTCGTCGAATTGTTGGTGTCGCTTGTCGTTGTTGTTTTTTTCTGCAGCATCGTGCACTCATTTACATAGGTGTGTATCGCATTCAGTGAGTGATAAACGTTAAATTCCACTTAAATGTATTCTTTTGGAATTTTCGATATGCGCGAGTTAATTTGGTGATTTCAATCAGTTAAGCAATTAAAATTAAAATAAGTTACAACAGCCAACAAACATATTTGCTGTGCCAGCGACACACTATTCTGCATTCTCTATTCCCCCACCATCACCAACATCTTCGGCGTTGTCAATCGTGTGCATAATGTAAAACATCTTCATTGAAATCGCGCTAGCATGTACGATGTGCTCAATTTTGCGCCTTCGTATCAAGTCACAGCTAATATCAATTCCATTCATGATTTTTGTGAACGGAACTCTTCCTCCGTCTCTTTCTCTTTCTCGCGCGCGCGATCTGTGCCGGTTTTCCTTCGTAAACCGAAGTTACTTTATATGAATTTATCACACATTGTTACGGCATTTATTACTTTAAATTATTTTTTTCAAAGAAGAAATTCAATAGTTTTGATGTTTTTTTGCTCAAATCTGGAAGAATTATTCGAATCTGGGATTTTTCATTCATTTTTCCCTATATAGATATCAATCAATTCTGATCGAATTTTTCAAATGTGGATTCATGATTCGTTGACCGCAATCCGACAAAAAAATGTGTTTATTTGAAATGCGGTTAAACGATGGATGGAGTTAGGCATTGAATATTATGCAAACATAACTGTGTAGCAATGAAACGTTCGTCATTTAATTTAAATGTACAGAATTAAGTCGGTAATTTGACATCAAACTGTATG